GAAATATTGCTGCTTAAAGAATTTGGGGATATAATGCACAGTGCCCTTGGAGACATCCACCTGTACATAACCCTGGATTAGCATTTCAAAATTAAAAGGGAGAAGTAGAAGATACAGGCCATTTCAGAAGAAATGGCTTTTTTTCATTAATAAAATAACGTGGGACATAGAATAGCACACTTGGTAAAATCCTGGTTGTATGATCCTGTTGGCCCAATCTACTTATTAGGTAACACAGAGCTGTGTTAGATTATGAGTGGACTTCCCATCTAGTAACTGTGAGAGGGACCTCGGAGTCCTAGTGGACAATCACCTAAATGTGAGCCAGCAGTGTGCTGCAGCTGCCAAAAAGGCCAACACAGTGCTAGGCTGCATTAACAGAGGGATAGAATCAAGATCACGTGAAGTATTAACACCACTTTACAATGCCTTGGTAAGGCCACACTTGGAATACTGCATCCAGTGTTGGTCACCGCGATGTAAAAAAGATGTTGAGACTTTAGAAAGAGTACAGAGAAGAGCAACAAAGATGATTAGGGGACTGGAGGCTAAAGCATATAAGGAACGGCTGCTGGAATTGGGTATGTCTAGTTTAATGAAGAGAAGGACGAGGGGGGACATGATAGCAGTNACTTCCTGACAGTTAGAACAATTAATCAGTGGAACAACCTGCCTCCAGAAGCGGTGAATGCTCCAACACTGGAAGTTTTTAAGAAGAGACTGGACAGCCATTTGTCCGAAATGGTATAGGGTTTCCTGCCTGAGCAGGGGGTTGGACTAGATGACCTTCAAGGTCCCTTCCAACTTTACTATTATTATTATTATTATTAAAAATGGGATAACTTGGGGTGCATTTTTTTCAAGGGTGGTGCGTTTGAGGAAGGAACTGTAGACTCTTTGTTTTCACTCCCTCACCTTGATTTCTTGTAGACTTTCATTTGCTCTTTTGTTTAGGTGTATAGGCACTTTTTATGGGCCCACTGCTGTTGCATACAGTATTATCTCAAACTAGTTGCGATCAGAAGATAGTATAATCTCCAACAATTTAGTACCTGGAGTTAGTCGCACATGCCCAGCCTTAGGTAAAACACAGTGGCAAATAACTTGTGAAATCTTGCCAGGGAAACTTGTCCAGGCAATCACCAGGAGGCAATACTGATTAGAAAACATAAATAAACATACAAACTTTAATATTATATAGTATGTATGTGTACAAACTGCGCAGCCTGAAACTGCATTCTTGATAATTTGACACATCTTCACTGTAGTATCCTAAAACTGATGTCTGTTTTATACCTCTTTCCCTGCCCTGTGCCTAACCATTTAGATAAGATTAGAAGGAAGGAGATACGGCTGGAGCTCCTATTTTTAGACTTAAAAGCAATTTTTGGTAGGAACACTTAAGTTGTGGCTGTGCCTCTGCTCTTCTAAAACTATGCAAGTTGGTAGCCATTACCTAATATGCATCATATGACAGTGAACTTCATGTATTGTATTCTAAGCTCCATGAAGAATTTCCTTTTATTCTGAAACTCCCATTATTCTAAAATTACAGCAGATGGGAAAACTATGCATTTTCAATGTATCCTACATAATGTTATACAACTATTATATACAGTACCTCTCTTGAATTTATTTTTCAAAAGCCTTAAATACTATGAACTTTTATTGTAACCTTTTTTCTGGTTACCACCTTTTCCAATTCAGCTATATCCTCATTGAGATAAGCTGATAAGAAACTCTTATAGAGGGGTAAATAAATATGCAAAAATTAGCTTGAACCCTCCACCTTTCCACTTAGGTTTTGCTTCCTGCATCACAGTTACATCTTTCTAAGTGAGTGAGTTCATAGCTTCTGCTATAGCTTCCTGTAAATCTGTAATTTCCTGACAGTAAGAATAATTAGTGGAACGGCTTGCCTCCAGAAATTGTGGGTGCTTCCTCACTGGGTTTTCAAGAAGAGATTGGACAAGCCACTTGTCTCAAATGGTATAGGTCTCCTGCTTGAGCAGGGGTTTGAAGACCTCCAAGATCCCTTCTGACTCTATTCTGTGTTTTGTGTTCTATTGCATATTTCTGCTTGATGTCAGTGAGGCCTTTGAAGGAAATTTTAGTTGCTGATTTTGATTGAATAAATATTTGCACTGCAGACAACAGCAGCTCTCTAAACTGAGCTATCCTTGAAAAGGTGAACAAGTGGTTAGTACTGGAATGGATGGCCACCAGGACACTGCAGGACTCTGGGTTAAAGTGGGAAATTTTAAAAAAAATATTTGAAAGAAAGATGGATAGGCCTGTCCCTGTATTAACCAGGTGCAAAGCCTTTTTAATCAGCTGTTTAAGAAGAAAATGATAAAGTGCTTTATATGTTTTCAGATATTTCACCAGTCAGAGCAGAAAGCATTCATTCAGTCTTTATTCTGTGACATCAACTGTAGATTAAAGCTGCTTGCAAAATATCCCAAAATGGTTTTTGCCAGAGGACAGCAGTTACTGCAAGATGCATATGCAGTCAGATGTCTACTCTATGTAATATGTGCGGTTACTCCTTTTCAAGAGTTGGTGTTGTTCCCAGTCCTTTAGAACTTAGCAATCAGCATTGAAACACTGAAATATTCTTGGCAGAGAACAAGTAGCTATTTAGCAGGGAATCAAATTGTCTGGAAGAAATACAACTCACATTATTTTTTTCTTCAAACTATGCCAGTAAGACTTGCGTGTTGCATTTTTAGGGTGATTATTGTTTGGAAGTTCTGCCATTGTCAAGTCTGTACTGTAGAATTGTTTCCACGTGTCTTGGCAAATTGGAAACATGTTGATAAACTGTGTAAAATTGACCAGTTCCTGCTTTAAAACATAGTTTTAACTCAACCGTAGAATAAATTCTCAGTGGATCATTCCAGGGGCATGCCATGCTTCAGAAACATTGATAGTAAAACTTGCAATTTTCAATTTTTCACTCCTAATTATTAAATTGGAAATACACACCCACTCACATTTCAGTAGGCCTCCAACTTCCTGTAAGAAGAAAAATAAAAGCCCATTGGTGTAGTCAAGTTTCAGCAAATCTAAGAAATGCTAATTGGATCATGAACACAGGGACACAAATAAGTTTTCCAGATTGCCATTGATGCTTACCTTCAATCCAAGTCAAAGCATATCATATAATTGTATTAGATTATAATAATCTAATATAATTGTAAAGATCGCCAAGTACTTCTGAGTTTACTGAGGGCCATGAATCTCCAAAGAACCTGAAAGGAATGAGAAATTTTGTTGTTTTCTGAATATCGTGAATACTTTGAATATCAGTATTATTATTATTATTTTTTTTTGCAATCCCAGTGTCTGATTTTGCACTGAGAATTGAGCCTAATCTAATCAGGAGAATTGTGAAAGAGGCATTTCCAGACTGACTTCAGAAGAATAAGCCATCATATGAAAGAGTTTCCTCATTCCTTATGAACTGTTTGCAAATTACTAACTTTCTGTAGGACCAGAGAGCGTTGCAGCCAATAGGAAGGCGGGATATGTTCAAATTATTCCAGGTTCTTATTCTAATCCATGCTTTTGAAGATAATGCCCAGTTTGGACCATATTTTGTGATCGGTGCTTGCTTATTCTTCTCCATGGTTGTCACAGCTGCTGTGTACTGTGCTATGTGCCTTGATTCTATAATTTTCAAAGGAATGGGAAACTTAGATTCTTGCTGCTGTTGAAGTTACCTCCTGTCACTTTAACCCTCATAGCCAATAGTGAAAGATACCTGGAAGGAGAAGCTCTTTAGTAATTAAAGGACTACTTGCTCTCTCATTCTTGGTGTGAAGGAGATTTGCTTCCCATTTTCTCTATTTTATGCTTTTTTAATAAACATTAGTTTGCTAGATAACAGTGTCTTTATTCTGCTGTTCAACATGCCCACTGTCTATAAAAAATACTTTTTTTTTTCATTATGAATGGCTAATTTGAAACTGGTTCCTGTTTGTTGTTTCATCATGATGTATTGCAATCCTTTGTGTAAAAACCTTAGAAATCAGTAGCACAGGTACTTTTTTTAGGTATAGGTTGTCTTTTAATAAATTTACAGGTCTTTAGTTCCATTTCTATGGCCAATGACGTAGTGTTACAGTTGGAAAAATGTGCAAGCAGCAAAGAAATGTTCAGATTGGTAATTGGCTTGTTAGTGATGTGTGAAAACTTACAAGTTTTACAGTAATGAATATAACCTTGAATTTCTCAGCTATTTGTCAATCCGTATGTTCCTGTGAAATAGCCTTTTGGGAAAACGAAGTGCTGCATAAAAAGTCTCAGATGGATTTATTTTTAAACAGCATTCAAAAGTTGTTAGTTCTTGAATAGTATCTTATATGTGAGCCTACAGCATTGTTAAGAGAAGAAGGTATAGAAAATTTCTGAAAATGGAACAAGGCCCAGAAATGTTAGGCGTCAGTTTGACTTTTTTGGTGGGAAGTTATTGGAATGATATTTTTTTTCCAATACTGGAAGGAATTTTATCCTGCTTACAGTGAAAAAGAAAAGCTACATATTTTGATTTCGTGTAAAATATAGAAATTAAAGAAATTTCTCTTTATATAAATATCTCACAATAAATAATGAATTTAGATTTAGATTTTAGATTTGTATTGTATTATATCATTGTTTTAAACTGGCTGTAAGCCGCCCTGAGTCCTCCGGGAGAAGGGCGGGGTATAAATTTAATAAAATCTAAATCTAAATAATGAATACATTTTGCATTACAATATACTTGTTAAAATTGGCTCAGGGTGTTTAAAAAGGAGCTGTTGATTTTTTTATATATATAAAGCATTGGGAGATTAGTACAACCTTGACATGGCTTTGATAATGCAACTCATTAAAGCAGACATGTCCTTTTCTAGGTTCACCTGATTGTTGAAGGAAGATGCACAGCAACCAATGTAGAAACATTATTGATATGAAATACATGTTTTTAACTATTTTTCTTCTTTTCTTAATTTTAGATTTCTAAATCAACCCAGTGCACGGTTCTGTGTTTGGGCTTTAGTTGTGGAAGAGAAATGCCTACCATGTGCTAGGATACAAAGTTTGTGGATCCTTTTATTTCCGTGGTTCTGGAATATAAAGAGAAGAAACAGGACAAAATGGGGAGGAAGAAAATACAAATCACAAGAATAATGGATGAGCGGAACAGACAGGTGAGAAAGGATGCTTCTTTGGAAAAATATTTATCTTGCATTCACTTTTGTAAAAGTTGGAAAAGGACTACTATTCCAAGCTAATATTTTCCCCCCTACAACTTTATCCTGGTAGCCACTACGGACTGGAGCTACAGAAGAAAGTATGATGGAAGTATTTTTATTTGGTGATATATTTATTTCTTATTATCCTAAGCCTAATGTAATTATTAGCTTTATTTGTGAGTGTTGCACAAATTCATTCATCATCAATGAGGCTCCTGGGGGAGCCTCATTCGGCTGAATCACTCTAAGGAGAGCAAGTGCGAGAAGCGGCGCCTCAACAGACACCGGAGAATCGCGGAGTCGGAGGGCTCCTTTTTCCCGCCATTTCCAAGGCCATTTTTTTCTGCTGGCTATTCTCCTTTTAAATAAGATGAGTATTTCAACTGAAATGTTTCCAGTCCTCAGTATCAAACCATCAAATTTCAATGAGATTGATCAGATTATATACTTTCCTTTATTAAAATGTCATGTTTCATGTATTAAAATGTCATGTTTCATGCATTGAGTGGTATTCCTTCAAAGACTTGTGCAAATCACAGTCCCTAAATTGAATAAATGCATTTTCTAAGTATGTGTATAATTTCTACACACACCCCCCCCAGTATGTAGAGCAGTATTGAGAGAAAGATGCATTGCCCCTATTAATTAGGAGCGATTAATGTAATGTTTACTTAGGTTTGTAGACCTCCTAATAAAGTCTTTTAATTAATTTTAATACACTTGGCATTTCAGCTCTCTAGAGATAGACTTTAGATCCAGTGGGAATTTCCAAGGATTGAAAACTGAGTGATCACTTTTATGAAGGTGACAATTAGAGAACACTATCCATTTCCATAATGGACCCAAAAGGTTTTATTAGCCTCATAATAGTCAAAAGCAGGTATTGTAACATTTGTAAAGGTGTTGTAATCTGTTTTTAAAACCTTTGTCCCCCCCCCCCCTGTATAGATTTCATCTGTTTTCATTGCAACAGAGTTTGCACTGACCATTGGAAAGTTTGGTGATCTAAATTTATAGATTAGTCCAATGTGATGTGTCCAATGTGATGTGTCCAATGTGATGTGTCCAATGTGATGTGCATGGACATGTCTTAGATTAATCACTGGATATCATCAACAGAATGCTTTGATTTACTGTTTTCACAAAAACTACTTCTTGGCCATCCTTGCAAATTATCCCAGTTTTGTTTATTGTTACTCCCTTTCCTGTCCTCTTCCTCTTCTAATCCTAACCCTGTTACTAGAACAATGAGCCTTGCTTTATCTTACAATTACTAATAAAAGATTGCCAGTAATCACATTTTATCATCACTTCTATCTTTTTACCCTTAAAGCTCTCTAGGTATTTGCATATGTTTGCATGATATCTAGCAGCTCATAGACTGTGTTTACCTTAATGTTATTTCTAAGAGGTTTTTTAGTTCCATTTTTAACAGGAGCAGATATGAGTGACTGCGGAAAGCTATATTTTTAGTGTGTTTGTTAGAAAAAAGAAGAAGCATAAAGGATCTCCTGGAGAGTTTTGCAATTATGTGTCATTTGATGTGTCAAGTTTCAGTCTGCTAAAACATAAAGGAATAATGGAGTTTCAAACTCAGAAATTTACTTTCTTGTCATTGTGTAGCGTTTCAAGGAGTTACTTCTGTATCTGGCTACAGTGAAGTAAATAACCAATCAGTTACGACACAAACAATACAGTTGCGTCAGTGTGGCTTTTGGGAAGGTAAACTGGAAGCAGAGGCTCTGTGTACAATCACCTGAGCTACTTGGAAGGTCTATACAGACCTATAAAAATATAGTTCTACATCTCTGAAGAATATTTGGACAGTAAAACTCTTGGTGACATTTTTGTAATGTTTCTGAGAAACAAGCAACAAAGTAGATACACAGTGAACAGTATGAAGTATGTTTAGACTTTGATTTATGTGGGAGATGCATGAACAATAAATGCCCCTGAAAAGCAGCAATTTGAGATGCTTAAAATCCTTTTGTTTGGAGACTTGTTCAATTTTGCAAAGGCTAATTTCTCATCCTAGCCCTTTACTACTTACATTTGGAAATTACAAGGATTCCAGTATCTTTTCCTTTGTAGGTAAAAAGCAATTTAAGGAAGGCAGCTTTTTATCAAAAGATGGTTGATTGGGAACAAGCAAACAACCTATACACAATTGTGCCGAAATGGCTACTGCCTTTTTAGTTTAAAAGTCAAATAGTTGGAGATGGGATTTTGACTGAGGACTCAAAAGAAAACCCATAATTGAGAACTTAAATAAGATACTAAACAACCCTGCAGCCTGCTGGCAGAAATTCTGTCTGACGCATAATCCATCCATCCATCCATTTTGGAGTTCATTTCTCTGATCTTAAATTCACCAGTAGGGCATTGAGACAAATGCTTTAACTATGTCCTTAAACTAGCTTTTAGTAGGTAAAGTATTTGGTAGACTAGACTTCCTATCTGGTGCAATTTGCAGCAAAATAATCTCCTCTCGGAATGTTTTTCTGACAGAGCTGTGTGAACTCACTTTTTGGGCAACTGCCAGCTATGTGTATATCTGTGTGCTTTATTTGACTCTTGATCCCACTTATTACACATGTTTGGCCAGTATCCCAGAAGGAAGTAAGAATGAGCAAATGGGTGGCTTTACATGAAGAACTACTTTATAATTCTTAAACTCACATTCTTGCATTAAACATTCTGTAGTCCTACGGGAACTGCCAAGCTTTATCTGTCCCGAGAGCAGTCCCGTATACCTGCTTTTACACTATAGTAGCATTTAATAATGGTTACTCCTCGACCTGAGCCCAAAGTTTCAGTTGCTAAATGAGAGAGTGAAGTGAGTTTTGCCCCATTTTGTAATCTATCTTGCCACAGTTAAGTGAATCACTGCAGATGTTTAGTAACCCAGTTGTTAAGCGAATCTGGCTTCCCCGTTGACTTTGCTTGTTAGAAGGTCGCAAAAGGTGATCACATGATCATCGGCATGCTGCAACGGTTGTAAGTGTGAAAAACGGTCATAAGTCACATTTTTCAGTGCTTTTGTAACTTTGAATGGTCACTAAATGAACTGTTGTAAGTCGAGGACTACCTGTACTGTTCATTAAAGCGATCTGTCACTTTGTGAGATAATGGGCATCCTTCCAAAAAACAACAATAGATGGAGCAGCTGCTTTAAAGTCCATATTGTTCCTGTTTTTGTTTTTTGTTTTTTTTAAAAAAAACAAATATGACAATGAGTAAAAAGGAATGGCTGTGGTTTTTCTTCTCAAATACACTGTGTTATATAGCCTTGGAGTTACACAGCCAATTGTTTTTACATATGGTAACGTAAAATCTGTTGAAGTCATTGTGTGATACTCCCAGTTCAAACTGATTTTGCAGATCTAGTTTGTGACTAATTGTTCCATTATTTATGTGTTTCAATTTGCTGGACTATCCTTAGTGAGATGGAGGACATAGAAACTCAGATGCTTTCTTTCCAGCCTTTGAATAACATTCAATTATAGGTAATGGTCTTTCTGTGCTGTTCATGCATACAAGTCTTCAGGTTTCTTATAAGTAATAAATTGTTTCAGTTTAATATGTTTATCTGATTATATGTTACCCCCAAAACATACAAGTTTCTTGGCATGGGAAACACGGTCAGAAATACCGGGGGAAATGAAAAATATTTGCAGAGGTCAAGAAGATCCTTCCCGTTTAGAGAATGTGCTTCAAATTATGTGATTAGTATTGCTTCCAGAGGGCAGCACAAATTAACATTGGATTATGCTGAGAATTATGTTTTTTGCAGCTCAGAGTGATTCTGCCATCTAGTTCACTGCAAGTCTTTCATTATTCATCATGATGGACCTTCAGCAATGATGATTTTTAGTAAGCCACCCAGATTAACCTTTGTCCAGATTGATACCTTTCTTTTCTGATGATTGGAGCTGTAATAAAACAGAATAACAAGTTGTAAGGGATGTTGGAGGTTTTCTAGTCCAATCTGCTGCTCAAGCAGGAGACCTTATACCATTTCAGAACAATCTGAATCCGACCTCTTTTTAAAAATCTCTAGTGATGGAGCACCCACAATTTCTGAAGGACATTTTGCCCAATAATGTCCATTTTATTGTCTATTTTTTTTGGAAGAACATCCCAAGTTCATGGTTGACCATGTCTATATGTATTCAATTATTTCTGTTTTTACTTTAATCAGTTTCTCTGTTGATAAAGTAATAGATATACAGAATAAACTATCTGGGAAAACATAATATAAGGTAACCTTTACTGTCACTTTTTTTCTGTGAACACACTGGCACACATTCAAAAATGAAATTCTGACGCCATCTATCTATCTATCTATCTATCTATCTATCTATCTATCTATCTATCTATCTATCTATCTATCAAGAGAGACTTCAAAATGCAATTTGTGATATCCTGTAAAAGAGGATAACATAAAAAAGTTAAAAAGTTAAAATAAAAAGTAACCTCAAAAGTCTGGTGGGCCCAGCTGTTCTGGAACATATTCAGACTTTTGCCATTAAATACATCCCGCTGAAATATTTCTTCTCCCCTTTTGTTTTTAGGTGACCTTCACAAAAAGAAAGTTTGGATTAATGAAGAAAGCCTATGAACTAAGCGTGCTTTGTGACTGTGAAATAGCACTCATAATTTTCAACAGTTCTAATAAGCTCTTTCAATATGCCAGCACTGATATGGACAAAGTTCTTCTCAAATACACAGAATACAACGAACCCCATGAGAGCAGAACTAACTCAGATATTGTTGAGGTAACACATTACCATTCCCTACTTAATATATAATAATTGTATTAAATATTAGTAAGTGGTATTTATTTCTAGATAGATCATTGCTCTCTTCAGTTCTCATTACTAGTTTGGTGTAGTAGTTAAAGTGTTAAGGTGGGTGGAGACTTGATTCTAGTCTATCCTCAACTATAAAATCTCATTGGATAAATTTGGGCCACTCTTCTCTCAGCCCAACCTGGCTACAGAGTTATGAGGTAAATGGGAGTATTATATATGCTGCTGTCACCTTCTGAATGAAAGGTGGAATATGAAAACAAATCATTGTCATTATCATCATCATCATCTTGAACACCCCCTAAATAAACAATCCTAGAGTTGATTCAGGGACATTAGCCATTAGATTTAGGGTGCTTAGATTTATTTGACCAGGTTCAAGTTACTGAAAGCAGAGTTTAAGTAAGTAGAGGCTTTTAGTGGTTCTTTAACAATATTTAAGGAAGCTCAAAACTTGAATAGTCAGATATAATCCCCAAGATCTGGGGACCTCTTCTCTGTTTCCAGTTCTTTCATTCTCGGTGATAAAAAGCTGTAATAATTTGAGCTTATACTTCTGGCTACATCCTTTAGCTGCCAGTACTTTGAAACAGAATTTTCAAATAATTCCTGGCCCATTTTTAAATTCTTGCAAGTGATACTGGCAGAGTTTACCTACTACAGTACAGTAAAGAAAATGCATTATGTTCCGTATTCACGTATGTATGCGTACTTAGGTGGATTTTACTGCTCCTTTAAAAAAAAAAGATACGACATCTTGAACTAAGATATTTCCACAAAACCTAGATTAGATTTTTCTTGAGAATTAAGAAACACTGATTGATGTTTAATCTTTTCCTGTCTCCTGTTTGAAGTACATAAAAAAGCAAGATACTTAGGACATACTACCTTATTTCAACACATACAAGTGGTGTCCTCCAATTTGTCAGTTTTTCAAATTGCCTTTTTGCAGGAATACTTCTGCCACCATATGTTTCATGCACAGATTCCTTCTATAGTGATTGAAATAGTTTATTTGCTATAGTGTGTGTACTTGTCACGAGCAGTATACGATCTCTTGATTTAAAAGTAATATTCAGTACTCTGGGGCATGTGATAATTCTTTATGTAGTCTTACATTATGTCATGTTTTTGGCTGATTAAAATGTTTGTGTTCATAAACTAAAGGCCATTTTATTAATTGCATGGGAGATTGTAAAAGGATAGCCTTCTCTGTCTATAAAGAGAAAAGCAAATCCATACCCCACTGCTTCCTGCTTGCTAGAAGTCGGGACCCAGCAAATTGAGAGTCAAATTAAATCCTGGTCTTTAGAATACTGAGCTGAGCAAAGAAAGGTTCGTTCCTTTCTTCATATATGCAGGGTTTTTTTTTTAAAAAAACAACAACTTCAAACTTGTTTTGCTTCCAGTGACCTCTTTTTCCTTATGTATGGTGAGCATGAGTTTCTGCATAAGATTTTCTTTGTATATTACTTAAATAGAATCCCAGTCATAGTGGGGGAAAAAAAATCAGAGATCTTTTGTAGGTCCTGAAGATCAGCTGTTCTCTCTGTGGAGTAACTAAAACAACCAATTTGTTTCTTATGATCATTCTAAAATGGATTCTTTTTTCTGATTAATAATCCTATTTATAAATCAACCAAAAGTCCATTCTTTTAAATTAGAAACGCTACTTGTGTGGCAGTAAAATGTGGTTTTCGTTCAAGCCATTAAAAACTCAGCCTTGACTCCTATCCCTTCAGCTTTCTCTCTTCCACCACCACCCTCCTTACTCTCCTCCCTCCCTCACTGAGGAGGGTGAGATAGCTTTTTTAAGATAATGCTGTAGAAAATTACACATCTATAAGATGTTTATTGAGTGGAGCAGATGGTAGCAGTTGGCTAACCTTGTTTGGTATGAAGCACCTAAGCCAAGTCAGTCCTGGCTAATATTTCAGTAGGAGATCTTCAGAGGATACTATAGGTACTACTCAATAGGCTGTGCCGAGAAGATGAAAAAGAAAAAAAAAACTACCCAGAAGAAGACAGTGACAAATTACTTCTGTATCACTGCCAAGAAAACTGCAGATCTATGAAGTCACTAGTAGTTGAGCTTGATTTTAAGGAGGCTTAACCTTAAAAACCATGTAGAACTGGGAACATGCTGGATGATATGCAGGGATTAACTTCTTAGCTGTAAAGCTTCTGTTCAGGAAAACAATTCACCCGCGTGAATTTCTTCCTGAAGAAAGTATAGCTGTTAAATGTCTGAAAGACTGTTATGAATATTAATCTTTCTTCCTAGCTTATAAAAGTGTAACATTATTAACTGTATTAATACTACATTTAAGCAGTTGTTGATTTGTGAAGATATCATAATTTTTACAATAAATTATAACGTTTTGAGTGAAGTGGGATGCATTTAGTATATTTTGGTTGATTTGTGTATTAGAAGTTAATGTTCTGTTGTAGTACATTTAGCTACAAATAGAAATGGCAAGGGGTAAAAATAGATCTAGCAAAGCACCACTCTTGTTATTGTTTAGGAAGTCCAATCTGTTAGACACTTAGTATTTCTAGAAAATGTTGAGAACTTCTCATAAAGACATTTCCTCCCTGAAAATCAGTGTGTGTAGTGAACAGTTGGTTCGGATTCTGTGTTTGTTCCAAACAAATTATAGTGAGTGGATTAAAATGGAATGAAATGCAACACTTTACTGACCTTCAGCAAACCTTATTTTATACAACTTTGTAATTACATTTCCCAGTTGCTGGGATTTTGCCAGCATCATGAAAAATCTGGGATATTAAGGACTCCATCCACTGGATCATACAAGGGTGCTTGGATACTTGATGTTGTTAGATGAAGGATGGACGTCAGAGTTCCAAGCAGCTGTGCAACTATAGATCAAAAGTTTTTAAGCCCAAAAGAAAATGGTATCAAACCATGGGACTATTTCTTTGGATTCCAGTATAGCAAGATCAAAATCATGGTTTCAGTTTTGCTATCAGATTGCGGGATACTGTTTGCTTTCCTACCTAGACTGATAGAAAAAGGATATGACATTATGTTTTTAGCAGTTACTGTTTAAACATTAATTAATAAAAAATTACAATAACTGGTCAATAACTGGAGAGTACGGATTTTTATTAAGTGATCTAAAAAGTTGTTTGTTGGGAGATGTTTGATTCTTTTACGTCATTGCAATCCTAGAAACAGGTGTGTGTGAACAGAGAAACATGTAGAATATTTTGTAATGAGGTTTAATTAGTAGGAGAGCTTTTTTATATCACTGAAAATTCTGATGTTTTTCATGTTTGTTGCTTCCTATAATTGACTTGAATAAAACATATCCAATATACCAAATTTCAGAAATGTAGACTACTGTATAGCATTTTAATTCAAATAAACTCAGCAGTGTTACCATTCATCCGTAATGGAATTTGACTGCTGTATTTTAGAAATGCATTAGATAACGTAATTCTAGCTCATTTGTGACTAGTATATGAATCAGGATAGCCAGATCTGCTCTTTCAAAGCAGAATTCATTGTCCATGTAGTATTTTATTAGATATATTATTTTTTAGATCTTTTTTTATTTTAGATTTTTGAAATTGTATTTATGGGTTGATTCAAGAATGCATGATGCATTTTAAGATTAATGCTATGAAGCTATATTTACAATTTATTTTTATTCTTGGTAAGTAGCAGTCTAGTTAGGAAGTGCTATAATTATATGTCATTTTCTGCTAGAAGTTTATCTTCTTTAAAGAGATGACAAATTCAGTATAACTCCTGAAGTTAATTTAAATTGAACCAATTCAGGTAATTGTCTAAATGTTATCCAACTTCCTTGTTTGTGCATACAGGTCTAAAAAAATTGCTACTCACATATCAAAAATGAGCTTTACTGTGACTTCAATAATGGTTTTTTTTAAAAAAACCATTGAACGCTTTAGAGGTTGTTATTCTGCTACTTACCCAATGTATTTATTTTCCCAATATGTCAATATATTTGCATAAGAATTCTGTAAAGAATTTTAGTTTATTGTAAGTATATTTGGCCTACTGTAGTATTTGGCTACTCCTGCTTGACTTTTTTAATTGCTAAAATAAAAAGAGTTCTGGAGATTGACAGTGATGACTTCATAGACATGTTCATGCAGTTTTCTTGGCACAGTATGCAAGTGGCTTCTTATTGCCTTCTTGAGAAATGTGTTCCTGCCTAACTCTTATAGTGGATTCTCTGATAGGCTCCTATCCAGACATTAACCCTGCTTGATTTCTTTAGCTTTGCACCTTTGGCTTGTCGGTTCTTGCCATCCTTGGATAGGACACCCAGCAGCATCTGCAGCAGAGGCAAGGGGTCAAAGGGCAGCCTAGCTAAAGCAGCATTGCCAGACCAGCCCTGCCCTTTTCTGTTTGGCAGCCTTGCATACAGGGCAACTGCAGGGCAAAACTTGGGGAACAGTTCAGTGATACTGTTTCGTCATTCTGATAAAAGCAGTGAGGCCCTGTTAACACTTCTAAGAACATTGTTTTGTGAATGCATAGCTTTAGGTTATGATATTGGAGTTAATTTTCACATGCACAGTTTGCAGCCACCAGGAAAGGAAAGGAAAGGAAAGGACTTTTACAAACTAGATCAGTGGTTCTCAACCTTTTTAATGCCGCGACCCCAACCGGTCGTAAGTCGAGGACTAAACCGGTCATAAGTCGAGGACTAAACCAGTCGTAAGTCGAGGACTAAACCGGTCGTAAGTCGAGGACTTTCCCTGCCTGGGAGCGCCGCGCATGTGTGGTTCCGCCCCCTGCGCCGGCCGAGGCATAGCTGGCAAGCGGCAGAGACGGAGCAGGCCGACCACCAGCTGGCCCAGCCCAAGGGAGGTAAGGCACCCGCCGGAAAAGGGGAAAAAAATGGCGAACAAAAAAAATGGTGGACAAAAAAAATGGCAGACAGCCTTGCTTGGCGACCCCCGTGAAATGG